CGCCTGCAGGCAGTCACTAGTATCCAGCTTGAAGGTTTCATAATGTAATCCAAAGTTCCTTTAATGCTATTTTCTAAATGGGACCTGGTTTCACCGAGAGCGAGAACCGGCTGGCAGCGATGCCGTCGCTGATGGTCCCGGGCCGGCGTGGGCGCAGGCCGCCGCTGCCAGGGTGTTGGGGCTCGTAGAGCGGCCGGGGCTGCCGCATTTGAGCTTAGGCTGCTCCGCGCCGGGAGCGGAGGTGCCGCGATGCGGAGGATCGCTGGGCAGACCCGGGGCCATGCTTCCGGAGGACACGTGTTTGAATCAGCCAGTGAGTCACTATTTGCCTTTACGATGCTGAATTTGTAACAACCAATCCAGTTTTCATTGAGAACTGGCATTAGCCCTCAACTGACCTTTCCCTGGGTTCTAAAAATCCCTCATTTTAAAGCATGGCAACAGAGGACTTGGCGTTATAAAGCTGCCGACAAATCTTTGGCCATTGCGTTACAAAAATTCCCTCCCCTCCTGTGCATGCATTCTTTTTTTACTGCAAAGTTTGGGTAATCCTCCAGGCTAAAGGTCAGTCTGTTTAATGCATGACAGGGCATCAGAAACAACTCCCCCGCCACCCTCAAAAGACTTCCTGAGTATTTGACACATGCCTTCAATGTGCACTGCAGACCAAGGACTAATTAATCACACTACTGAAACAGCATTAATTACCCAGAGCTCCATCTCCAGCATATACTTGGACGGTCTCCAGTCTGCATCTTAGAGGAGAAAACTGCAGTGCAGCCCTGGCCAGTCAGGGTACAGATTCCTCTCCCACACCATCCCCTCTCAGCTTCCAGTCATAGCAAAGTGACAGACAGCTGCCCTGGCCACGCCATGGCCCAGGAGGCAGCAGGAGAGAGGCACACCAGGAAGACACTGGGAGGTTACACACCTGCTCTCCCTGGGCCCAGCAAACTTTGTGTGACTTCTGTGCTCCAGGGCCCTGGGTTAGCCACTTGGGACATTTGGTGACAATACTCCATCCTGCAGGAAAAAGAAAAAAAAAAAGGTAGCTCTTTTTATTTTTTCATTCATTAAGCAACAAAGAGCACTTACTGTGCACCTGGAATAATGCTGGGGGACTCCAGGAGGTTCAGTGTAGTCGGCGCAACAGAACTGGATAAAGCAAGTGAAGTGGGCGGGGGGCGGGGGGGCGCCTGTAATGAGGGAGAGTAGTTGGGTCAGGGTGGAAATGCAGGGTAGGGGGTTGGGAGGTTCAGCCAAAGGCATCAGAGGCTGGATCACGGAGAGCCTCGGGAGCCACACTAAATTTAAAAGCTTTTCATGGAGGGCAATAGGGAATGACTGACGTGTTTTCAGCTGTGGCCGTATGAAGACACAGAAGGAAATTTTAGAGACCAGCTGGAGAATAGTCTCAACAGTCCAGGTCAGAGACAAGGGGCTGAACTAAGGCGCAGGCGCTGGGAATGGAAGGGGCACTGGATTCTAGAATTGAGAAAGAAATCTAGAATGGCTCCCAAGTTTGTGGCTTCCAGCTCGTGAGATCACTCCTTAAGCTACGAGTGACAGTTGAGGCGCCTGTGCAGTGGGGTCCTGGCACCTGAAGCCATACCCGGCCTGCAGTAGATGCGCGTACTGAGGACAGAGACAGTCCACAGGCCCAGAGCTCAGAAGCCATCCTCATGAAGACAACTGAAGCCAAGGGAGGTGGAGCGAGAGGAGACCGCTGCATTCCTGGGGGCACTACACTGAACAGGCCGGTAGAGACGGCACAGGCCGAGAGACACACGAGCCGGCAGACCATGGCCTTGGGGGGCTCAAGTGTCAGCAGAGAAGCCACAGTGAGAAAACACCCTAGTGGGCGAAGAGTAGGGACAACTGCCACAGCTACAGACGGTAAGGCTCGTGCTTCCAGGGCTGGGCTCTGAACCTTCACAAGGCCTCTCACGGGGAGAATGGCACTTGCCTGTTCAAAGGTGCCAGCACTGGGGGATGTTATGGACGGAGAAGTGATTTTGGGACTTGACCTTCTAAATGCTCCCTCCCTAACCATGTCCTCCTGGCCTGCGTTCCTAGTCTGCCCACAGCAAGACCTAAATTTCATTTTGGACTCCATACGGAATGTCTGTGTGATCTCAGCCTCCCATCCCACCTCTGAGAAATGCTTCTTGCCTCATCTGTGTATCACGGGGTTGTTAGCTTAATATATTCAAAAATGTCAAAGCACAGCAGTTCCCACACACAACCACCCTGGTTCCTTACCAGCAAGATAAGGGCTAGGTTAAAAAACAACAATACAAACAAACAAAACACCTCTCTCCTGGAAGTGACATTAGTCTAGGATAGAATCCTCTCTGCCTGGTAAGAATAACTGGTATTTCACACTAGAGAAGATCTGGGGAAAAAGAATATGAAGAACCGTCAAATCCTAGACAATTCCTACGTGCGGGGACATGCTGTCATTCAGCTGAGCACTGTGAGGTAGGCACAACTCGCTCCTTTCCATGAAGCCCGACCCCCTCCAAGACAGATGGCTGCATTCCTCTCCAGGTGCAAGAACCAGCATTACCTCTTGAGGCCACCGAACACTGAAACTCTCCTATAAATCATCTCAACAAATACTATTAGGTTCTCAACATGCATTTCTTGGAAATAATTTTCAATCATGAGGGCAAACAAGAATTCTACAGGGAAGCTGTTCTGATGACCACGGTCTAGTTCAGCATGATGCTTCAATTCAAAAAATGTACATTTTCAAATGTAAGATGCAATTAGGCTCAGATTCAAGTGTGAATTTATCCAAGATATTTCCTTCTAACTCTTAAATTAGCTACAAGCTACAATTTTAATCTAGAAAGCAAAGCCTAAAAATAGCTTTTTGTATATGCCACTCGCTGCCGAAAAACATTACCTTTCTTGGGAAAATTTAGAAAATACTACAGCTGTTATTTCAGTTCACGCCAGACAGAAGACCCCCCTTTTTTTTTTTTTTAAACCTGCCAACCAACCGAAGAAAGGGGTAGGTGGATAAGCAGAGATGGAAGAAGGCCAAAGTACAAAAACAAGCATCTCTGAGTCTCAGGTCTTTCCCTGTGCACTCCCGAGTTCATGGCTCCAACTACATCAAATATAACAACTAACAGCAAGATTCCAGGGCAGCATTAGTGCTCTTCAAAAGGGACACACACCCTCTGTATACAAACTAGAGATAGAAACCTTTATTTCACAACTTTGTCATAATTCACTTTCTAATAAGACATGTACTGGGGACAGAGTTTAAAATACTGGGAAAGCTAGATGCCGGGTGTCTTCCAGGCAGGAGCAAAGATGTGGTCGCTCCAGGGCCGACGTGTTCCTGGGGCTCTCCAGGCAGCAGGGGCCACACGCACCAGTCTCATCCAATCCCAGTTTTACTTAGAGCCGCCTCCTTTTTTGGGGCTGTTAGTCCTCATTTCATGCCAAATTTTCACTAGAGGTTCCCTGTTCTTCCAAATGAGTTCATGACCGTAAGTAATATACCATCTGGGGAAAAGAAAAACAAACCAGGTTCAACATTCAAACAGTATGACATACAAATGTTAAGTACCATGATGATACCAAGTTGACATTTAAAAAATTGAATGCCATGGTCATTTACTATCTTATTAAATAGCTGATTAATTTATTTGATGTAGATCAATGATTCACCTTTAATATGGAGTATGTGAAAGGCCAAAGTGGGACGGACTATGCACGGCACACACCACTGTTGATTCACCACTGCAATTAAGCATCAACTCCCTCCCCATTAAGACACGAGGAAACCAAGTCTCAGAGAAAATCTGCTCAGGGACTAACAGCTTCTAAGTGGTCAGTCAAGGACTTACCTGAAGGTCAGACAGATTCTAAGCCTGGTCTCTCTTTACTACATTAAATGTAAGAAATGTCAGCATTCGGGGCGCCTGGGTGGCTCAGATGGTTGGGCATCTGCCTTCGGCTCAGGTCATGATCCCAGGGTCCTGGGATCGAGCCCCGCATCGGGCTCCTGGCTCAGCTGGGAGCCTGCCTCTCCCTCTGCCTCTCTCCCTGCTCATGCTATCTCTGTGTCTCAAATGAATAAATAAAATCTTAAAAAAATAAATAAATGT